TACGTTATTGTTCACGTATATATATGTTCATTGGGCAATTAATATGCATGTGGTATGCACATAGTTATTGCAAAGGGAAACTACTAGGATCGTAGCTAGGTTTAAGCAGACTGGCATATACTGTTAATATTATAATAGTGTAGGTCCGATGATAATTTAATGGCAATATGTAATCGCTAACTGATATACTATAATGTAAACACTCACCGCTAAATGATTTTGTTAGTTACCAAGCAACACATTTAATGAACTGTTGTCTAAATTAGTTTTGTAGCACTGTCACGTGAATACAATTGTCAGTTTGTTACCTTGATTGGGGATGGAAACACATCACATCACAGCACTGTTTGTGAATTGGGTAGTCAAAAAACTTAAAGTTGTTGTAGTTCCCCCAAACAAACCAGTAAACCAGGGAAAACTGTTCATTTAACAGTAAATTGTTAACAGTCAGCTAAATGCCCGGTGACCAACACAGAGGTATACTACTATAGAGGATGTAATTAACTACACAAGGTTAATAAATGCCCGGTGACATGTTCACCAACACAGAGGTATACTACTATAGAGGATGTAATTAACTACACAAGGTTAATAAATTTGATAATGTAGGATAACAAATTAGATATTATATTCATTTCTCAGTTTTAAAAAGGCACAAACTAAAGCCTGAAATAGACTAATAATTTGTGAGCATGTATTCAATACTCTGTAGTCATTTACATATTAAATGATCACCATTTATGAACAGTAAATTGGAGTAAATTCAAATTTTTGCAATAAATATTTAAGAAATTATCATTTACAGTGAATTTGTGTCCTCAGAAAACTCCAGGATGTATGACCTTTTAATAATTAATAATAGTTAGGCAGCTAGCGAGTTAGCATACAGAAATATTGAAAATTCAATGTGCGTCTTTCCCCACAGATGGGGCTCAGAATAATCCCTAGAGAGATAGTGAATCTGAAAATAGAATCCTAGAGTTAACAAGCATTTATTAGATAGCAATCTATGTCAAGTGAGTTGGTACTTGATGGATGGATAAATGCCATCTAGCCATTAAGTATGCATCCCTGTGTAAACCAGCAAAACCAAATACCTATTGTAGATCCTCCATTTTACACTTGCTATAGACCTCCATAATGAACACCTCTTTAAATGTTCTCAGTGGCCTTGGAACATGATTAATACAAGACACCAAATCTAAGGAGTATTTAACTAAACAATAATTATCTTTTTCATAATTAACCAATTTCAATTTCTTCAGAATAGCCTATTTTTACATGTAACATATATCAAAGAGTGAATCATAAAATATTTCCAATCAGATTTCCAATCAGAACTGCCAATTATCAAATTCATTCAAATTGCAAAAAGTATTGACAGCACTTAGCTTTTCAGATGCTATTAAATCACCATTTCTGAGAATTACACACAAGACAACAGCTGTTTAATTACAAACATAGCCTTCAATGTGGTATATTTATTATTCTATCACTACAAGTTGAAGCTAAACTCCTTACTGGTTCAGTAAAGACAATATCATAAACAGATTCAATTTCCCAAGCCAGTGTAAATCTTTAAATTATATAGCAGTAAAAATTCCTCTGGGGTCATATGACATGGACTGTCAGTGACTTTAGTGTAATTGTGCCATAAAATCATCTGATAGCAGCAATGATTACGAGATCTTGCTAAAAATAGAACAGTTCACAATATGATCAAATGTGGTGAACATTTACAGGCAATATAGGTCTTTTCAACCCAACTATATTACTTTATTGTGGTTTATCAGCGATTTCTTACGATTCTCAGGGAAGTTTACTACTTTAACACATTGCAACAATATTTCAACACCAAAACATTTTGACTACTGACAATGACGCAACTCTGATCAATGCTACTGAGAAACATTCCTACCAGTGAAAATTAAGCGATACATGTATACAGTATGTTTACAAAACTATGTGTAGTTATGGGTATACAATAATTTCTTATTTACAAATTGATTGAAAAGAGGGAACCCTAAAGCGTTTATAAAATTATTCCTATGACAATATGTGTCTTTGATGTAGCCAGTCATCACAAATGGTGTTCACATATTCATGTATAATGTCAGCTGACTGGTAATTATGTGTGAACAGCATAGCCTGCCACCATCCAGGCATGTTTGTGTTTCTGAGACATTAGACACATGATGCATTGCTGTCTGTATGAAATAAGCATGGCAATGTAAAAGTGATGTAGCAGGTAATTATAGAATGGTTGGATCTGAAATTCCAAAATGAAATGTTAACAAATAAAACGTTGTTTTCAAAATAAAGCAGAATACAATCATGGGCGCTTACACGTCCCTGTAATATTTTGAGAACAACTTTTTACATCAGTTGGCATGCTCCTATTTCAAACTGTTTTATTTAAAGTTGTATTGTCAGCAAAACGGAGTTGAAAGACGTTTTAATTTTTACTAACTTGGCCAAACATTAAATCTGGATGTTACAGCGTTTGCAAGTTAAACTGACTGAAACCTGACCCCCTAGGTCACTATGCATTTATCACTACAATACATCCAGTCATAATTGTAACTAGATGTCATTTTCAATCTTGTGCATGCGCAGTTCGTCTATCCTGCTACCGAACATGCTCTGAATATTACCGAATGCTCAAAATTAGCGGAACCCATTGTAAGAAGGTGCCAAGAGCTATTAAGAACCAATGTTTGTGAACAAACATTCATAGGGTAAAGCTAAAACAATAGCATTGTGGCTCCTTCTGTTAGTATGATTTTAAAAACTAGACAAAACACTATATTTTGATTCATTTCTGTGTGTAATAGAGTCTTTATTAATAGAGTCAAATGTTAACAAGTTCAATTGTAGTACAAGATTTACACTGTAGAGCAATGCAAACTTGACATACCTCCATCTCCATACGTCCCATACCCATGACATCTTCCTTGATGATAATTGGTATCGGTTCAGTGCGACCTGAAAAACCATCACATGAACAATACAATTAGTTCAAAAAATAAACAAGAATCAGATGATTTCTGAAGCATATATTAATTAATGGATGGATAATGGATACTACAGTATAGTGCAACCTAGTACCACTTATAGGCCTGGTCCCACAGGCATCTGTGGAGAAATGAAAAAACCAACACACATCTGTGACAGGCATGAAGGAGGATAGGGTGTAAACCAAGGGTAATATTAGGCAGAGAAGAAAATAAATGAAAGTAAAATAATGACAACAAATGACAGTTAGCTTTTTACACAAAATACAGCAACATGACAGAAAAAGAGTTATGAGTATTTTTGCCTACAGTGGAGTGTAGGTTATAACGAGAGAGAAAAGTGGTGACCATTTACCCTCATATTAATAATCTGTCTCTGCAATTCTGTAAAAAGAAAAAGAAGCAACAATGGTGTTGATCACTGTGCATGGATGCCAAATTAGTCTCAACTTGATTCTTATGCTGCTTTGCATTTATTTTTAATTTTTTAAAAATCAAACTCATTTCCGACTTTCAGCTAAAAAGCCATGCATCTCACATAAAGATGAAGGAAAGATGCAGTGAGAAGAGATGAAGACAAGATTAGTGATAAAACCATGTACATGCCATTTGCTATTAGCGAGCCAGACAACACCTGTAGGCTATCTGAGCGCAGTCACCCTTTCACCCCTGTATTTCAAAACAATGGAATTGTCCAATTTTGAGTTTACCAGTACAGTATTGGAGACCAGGGGTGAAAGGGATGTGGGATTAATGGAACAGATAAAAGAACATTTATAATTTATAAAAAAAACAAATAAGAGTACACACACAAGTTGGTTTTTAATTTTTAATTACCACTATATAAAATGGTTACATCTACGACCATATTTGGATGATGGCAATATACAATAGGACACCCGTAATAAAAACACCCAGCACAAAGCAGCGGTGGTTTATAAAAATAAACATACTCACTGAAACTGGCATTAAACTAAAATGTAATAAATATAGCCAGTCAAAGAAGTGTCACTTTATATAAAGTACTTGCATGCATTGATGCATCATTACAACACAGAACCATTACACTACACAAACACGCAAATAGTTTTACTATTAGAGACACCAGGTATTAAGGTAGGTGTAAGACTTACTACAGATTAAATGTCAAAAGTGTGAATGCTACAACTTTCAAAACCTAGTAGGTCATTCTGATGATATGCAGTATTTTTCTGATTTTATTCAAGCTTCTCATTCCTGGATTGGATTGTTTTGTTTTGTTGGTGCAATGTCAACACAGTAACCAACCACTGGTGCATTGGACTGCCAAGGTGAATGTATAATCTTCTCTTCAGGATGGTTGTTTAAATTGTGGTATACAGGTATGGTTATTGCAATGTTGTTTACACATAAATTTACAATTAACCTGATATAAATCAAATAATTTACATAAACAAATGCAAGATTCAAATTTCTCAAGATGTACAGTTGTAATATTGAATGTAATTATATAATTTTGCTTGGCACTATTGGAAAGGCTTATTATGGCCTCAGTGATTACTGAGGATAAATAATGTCTAATAATATAATAAATCTATCAACTCAGGAGTGTGATACATCAGAATGAGACTGCTTGGTGTTTCAAAGTTGTAGCACAATTATTTGGTGAGATGTATCTATGAACAAATAGCAGAGATTTAAATAACTACAAACACCATGTTATTGTTCCAGGATGAACAAATAGCAGAGATTTAAATAACTACAAACATCATGTTAGTGTTCCAGGATGAACAAATGCTGGATCAAGTTGAACAAGTAAAAATAAACTCTATGGACAATATACATGATAGAATACATATATTACTATGAAGTGAATGCTTGTAAAACTAGTTGCCCTCTCAAGTGAAACCTGACTGTTAACATTAAATGGATAAGGAGCCCTCTTACCACCTCTACCATATTGCTACACAGTATATAGATTGACAGCTGTTTTAACCATTTTCAAATGTTATATAATTTTATTAATTCTGACACCAAAGTCAACTTTTATTATCTTCCACAAAATTCCATATTTTTTCAAAAAATTTGATTAACTAAATTTTAATGTATTTTTTTAAATAATGTCAGTGTTCATTTTAAACTAAATGGACATAATTTCCCACTGGCAACAGGACTTGATCAAAAATTAATAACAACTTTGGAAAAAAAATACCGGTAATACAACAATTAAGGTGACAAGAGACTTTGATTTTGGTGTCAAGGGTTAATGATTTGATAAGAGTGATGGACAGACATGAATTATGACTGACCACAAACTATTTTAACTTTAATATTTACCAGTAGTTAGAGAACTAAATGGGTGATATTACAATGAATACTATGATCACAATAACATCATATATAACACCTGTCTATTAACAATTCATTTAATACATATAAATATATGTTTATATGATAAGTACATGTAAGTAGCTCTAAAGTTTAGCTTTATTGTCTTAAAGAAATGTAATGAATCCAGGCAATGCAGATTGCTAGATTCAGATAGCAGACAATGACTCCTTCCAGACAGGGGGAACTGGGGCACAGCGCCCTCATACCCCAGAGCTTGCACCCTCTTACCCCAGAGCTTGCACCCTCTTAC